CGGCGGCGCGGGCGGCGCCAGGTGGCCATGCGTCTTCTTCAGGTGCTTGCTCAGGTTGCTGGGCTGCTTGGTGTCGAAGCTGCAGAAGCTGCACTTGAAGGGGCGCTCGGCGCAGTGCACGCGCTCGTGCACGCGCAGCGCCGCCTTGCTGGCGCTCGAGTAGCTGCACTGCGAGCACTTCTCGGGGTGCTCGGCCTGGTGCGCGCGGCTGTGCTTGCGCAGCGCCGCCTTGCTGTCCCCCACGAAGGCGCAGTGCGGGCACTGGAAGCGGTCCCCGCTGTGCTTGATGCGGATGTGCGACTTGAGGTTCCCCTTCATGGTGCAGCGCACGTGGCAGAACTCGCACTTGAAGGGCTTCTCCCCCGAGTGCACGCGCATGTGCCGCTTCAAGTCCGAGCTGATTTTGAACTTGGCGCTACACAGCCAGCACTGGAAGGGGGCGTCCCCTGTCAACACAAGGTGAGTTTCCATAAGAACACGAAGGCAACAAGGGCAGGGGCCCACCCGGGGGCGCACAGCTCACCGGCGCCCGGGAGGCTGCGGGGCCGCACTGCGGGAGGGGGCGGGGCGGAGGGGAGGGAAGGGAGGGAGGTTCTCTTCTAACCTAAACCTCCCGCTGCAGCCTCTGGCACAGCCCTGCCCCTAGTGGAACCCAGCAGTCTGGGAGAGGGAAGACGGATTCATTCAGTGGTTCCCAGATACACGCCTGTCGTCCCAGCTACTCAGGAGGCTGAGCAATGAGGACTGCGGTTTGAAGCCAGCCCCAGCAGGAAAGTCTGTGAGACTCTCTAAGGAACCACCAAAAAGCCAGAAGTGGAGGTGTGGCTCAAGTAGCAGAGTGCTAGTCTTGAGCAGAAAAAGCCCAGGGAGAGCGCCCAGGCCCATTACTGGCATGCACGAACACACATCCATGTGTGTACACGTGCAAAATCTACTTTATATTGCCTTTGAAACAATCAAGCTGCGGTTTGAATAGTTAAAGCACCAGCTTCAGTAGTTAATGGTTCACAGCGTGCTTGAGTTACATGTGGTGATGGATTCAGTGTTCCCACAGGCCCGGCCACGTGTGATTCAAGTACCACATGCCAGGCACGTGTGCCCACGTATTCCTTTCACAGTGACTGAAGCACCACTTTCTATTCATGCAGATTGTTTTCTTAATAGAGATGTGTTTATTGTACAACATTTATTTATCCCATATGCCGGCTGCATTTGTTACTCATGAAGTTATAGAATCCAGCTGTTTGTTTTATTTATTTCTTTTCAATAAGTTCTTATTTGCTGAGGGATGAGCAGGAGAGTGAAACTGCAAACATCTGAAGGAACACTAGGCGCCAGATTTCTCTCTCCACAAACACCAAGTGCAAATTAGCTAAGGCGCCCATAATTCAAATTGATGGTCACCCCCCCCCCGCCATTTCCATACTGCTTAAACAGGCACCATGGCTGGCACTAGAACACCTAAGAGTCTAAGATTGTTTCTGAGACGGCGGTGCGGCCCTCATCTCTCCCCAAGGTGACCCCCACGAGGTGTGCACAGGTATGGACGTCAGTTCTAACACTGTAAGGTGTTCACGTGGAAGGTCATGGCTCACCTAGCTGTTTGTTTACTCCAAGTATGATTTCTCAGGCCATCCACCCAAAGAATGTTCCTGCTTTGGGATATGCAACCTACACGTCACTGTGCGCAGCTCAAAGCTCCAATGAGAGGCGCGGGGAGCTGCCCAGGAGGTCTCATCCTAAAATAGGGGGCTTAGGGTTAGGCTACCCAGGAACTGTGTTTCATGATGAGATTGCACTGACATCAGGTGCCGTAAACTCCCGCACCAGGAGTGGGAAACCGCGGCCTGGGACCAAGTCCTGCCTGCAGCCCGTGTCTGCAGATAAAGCTTCCCCGTTTGTTTATGCATGGTTGCTCCCACAGTTCACAGCATAGCAGCACAGCTGATGCCGGCCCCTAAGTCTAAGGTATTTATTTAATTTTTTTCTGTTGGTCGTGGGGCTTGAATTCTGGGCCTGGATGCTGTCTCTGAGCATCTTTTTTTCAAGGCTG